TACACACGAACACACACGAATACGCATACACACTCGCACATACGCACGTACACACACAAACACACACACACACACAAACACACACACACACACACACGAACAAACAAGAACACACACGAAAACATGCAAATATGCACACACACAAACATACAAACACGCATACAACTGCCAAAACAACAACACACCCCCCACCACCACCAGAATGTATAAACCGCTGTGAGACCAACATGCACGCCTATGTACGAACAGCCGGGGGCGGCAACACATGGCAGCTCAGCTGTTTTCATAAATTAATCGAAGGCAAGGGACGAGGAGAGGGCGAGGGTGGACAAGCTAGGGTGCACAGACCACATAATATCGAAACCTGAAACCTGCGAACTGACTCAGCTGAACTGAGTGTGGCCTTCGAGACACAACCAATGCAACACTATTGAGTCGAAACTAGACTAGAAAATGGACTAGATCTAGTTTGGTCTTTCTTCGTTTTTCAGCACATCGGCAAGATAACGTCTCTTTTGAACAGGGAAAAGAGTTGGATGGTAAAAAGGATCGACAGAAAACTTACTATCTTACCCTTTTTGGAAGGACGAAAAAGAAGCAAAAAAACTACCAGTGGCGAATTTCGACGAACGTTTATCACACATACCACCAGAAAGAGGCGTGGACATCGAACGGCTCAGTTGGTATCACTATGAGTTGAGATGCGATAAACGGGTCTAAATCCCTAAAAGATCGACTTTGAACTTTGGGGTGGATTTTTTACGTGCATGGGGAATGGGGGGGTCTTTATGGTTGTCCGCTCATATGGCTGGATCCTATCGGAAATGGACATGGACTTGTAGTAAGTCATATTTCTCACGTAACCGTATAGTATTAAAAAGGGCCCTCAACCCAATCTCACCAGACACTCTTCCGTAAACCTTATATTACATAATGGAGAGACGCATCGCATCTTATTAATGCAATATATAAATGTTTGTATATTATGAATATCGACTTTTCGTTCGGCACTGCCTAACATTTTAAGAGAAGTAAAAGATCTTGAACAATTGCCGTGTTATTTTTACTGTGCACACAGACACACAGGGCCTACAAAAGTACATTTTACACATTGCACTGGTTCGCAACCAAAAATCGCAATAAAGGCAGAGATAGCAAGCGAAAGAAAAAAAAATTAAAGAAATAAAGACGGAGCAAGGCAAACCAGTAAACGTATTTCTTTGTTAACTTCTTGAAGATTAAATTTCGATATATTACATTTCTCGCCTGCGTGAGAACTTGAGAAGACACTTGGCAGATAAAGAAAGGGGATTACAACACTCATGCGCCAACTTACCGCGGAAGTATCATAATACTGCAGCTATTGTAAATTTCTGGGTGCAACAAAGCTCAGGAAATCGTACCAACTCGGATGAAATCTTCAGACTATTTCAATTTCATATTTATTTAATGGAAGCTAAACGCAGCAGTCCTTGAAAGGGCTCATTTCAAAGCTCGGTGCATCAAGAATGTTGCATTTCTATACTATTAGCTGTACTCTGGGCATGCCAAAACCAAGAATTAGTATAGTGTGTGCGTGTGTGTGTGTGCGTGTGCGCGCGCGCGTGCTCGGGTATGGTTTGCCCCTCCTTTTCTATCAAACATATAATCGTTCTTGTCTCTCTTCCTTGTTTTCTTTGTACGTTTCTCTCTACCAGGGCTATTTCACTTCGAACAAAGCATCTAATCTTTTGACGGGTGTGTGATGTACGTGTGTGCGTGTGTGTGTGTGTGTGTGTGTGTGTGTGTGTGTGTGTGTGTGTGTGTGTTGATGCATACAAATATACACAAACATCCAACATCCGCTGTTGCAATCTTTCTCACACAGGGCCAACATCTGTTCTCCCTGTTTGCAAAGCCCTCTGTCCAGATTTCGTTAGTGCCGATCTCCCGACTAAGAGACCAGTCTAGCTAAACAGAACCTGGAATCCCCCCCAGTCACTGTGATGGGTCCCCGCTTTTCGAAATGACTTATTAGTGTCCAGCGGGGTGTAAATCTCAAACAAGCTCCTAACCCCACAAATCTAAAAATAGCTACCCAAAAGCCG